TCAGCAATTTTTTGCCGACCTCAAACACATTCAGGTCGGCAGTAAGGTCAGCATAATGCTGAAAAAGTTTCAAAAACAAAAAAACAAAACTAACAAAATAAAAAGAGATTGAAATAGAAAAAAATAAAAACAAATTATTAATTTAAATAATTTGTGTACTGTTTTTATTTTTGTTTCTTTAGAGTTACATTCAACAACAAAATTAAATTAGGGGAAGCAAAAAAAAAAACAGTTTGAAGTCTACAATAAAAAGAATGATTTTCCTTTTCTTAATTTTTTTTTAAGAAGATAGCAAAAATACAAATTGCAATGTGTTTTTAAAATTTATTTGTATAATATTAATGTAGCAACATGGGTTTATACAAAATCGTGTTCCTTGTTTTTAAGGAGAGAATCAACTTAAATTTGTTAGCGAAAAAGTAAAACAATCATATACTACAATCTGATGATGGTAATATATGTTATTTATTATATGCAGACCTTGTTTTAAATAAAAAATGCTTAATGAATTGGCATTAATACTTAACATAAAATTCTCTTTATTTTTTAAAGACATTACTTTTTTTAAATTACTGCAATAACATTAATTACCGCAGGGCTCGAGCTAGGCATATCACAATCGGGAATCACGTTTGCTTTTTACACTTTCGCGATTAGTTTTTTTTTTAAACATTTATTTTTGCGATTGGTTTACTTTTTTAGTTGTTTATTTACTATTTTTCTAATTTAGTTTTTTTTTTTTTTGGCAATTCTTAAAAGTAATGTTTTCATAGTAAAGTACGTCACGCAAAGCTTGTCTTTTGAATAGAAGTATGATCATTTGCTTTTAAATAGAAGCATGATCATTAGTTTTGGAATAGAAGCATGATCAATTGCTCTTTCGCGCAGAGATTTTTATTCAACGTAAAGCACTTTTTAATTTAAACTACTTTAAATCTCTGCGTAGAAGCAAATTAAAAAGACAAAAGTTGAAAATAATGTTTTCTTTATTATATTTTTTTAACAAAACAGCATTTTTATCTTTTTTAAAAGAAACGTTTCTCCAAATTAACTTAATAATAATGATTTATATTATTATTTTATAAACAATTTTATATAATTATTTTTACTACTTTAAGTATAATAAAATATATATAAATTAGTTTTATTAAATAAAATTTCTATTAGTAAAATTGTGCTAAAAGAAACCAGCAACTTTTTTGCCTTCACGTTTTTCGCTTTAACGACCTTGAAACTATTGAAGTTATATTTAGTTAACTTTACTGAATGGATAGAGTATATCACAGTAAATTAACTTATAACCTAAATCAAAACAACCAGTTAAGTTAAGATAGTAACTTACAGTTACTCAAGTATTAATTTAACAATTATATTAATTTATTTAAAATACTCGCAAAAGTTAGCCATAGACATGTTTCAATTAAGATCTTACATGTTATTAACACATAATATAAGCTTTTAACAAATAATTATTTTAACAAAAATTGTCGAATAGAATATGAAAAACGCGACACTATTTTTTTATATTTTCATTTTATTTATAGCGACATCTAGACTAAACATTTTCTATAAATACGCAATTGTTTTCAGGAATTTTATTTAAAAAGAAATCAATTTAACAAGAGAACTTTAGCCTTAAAATTCACTTATTCAAATAATTTTGTGATTGAAATTTGAAATTTAAAAAAAAGTTTAAAAATTTAAAAAAAGTTTGATGAAGCAAGGGATAAAAGAAGAAAGTTTTTTTTTCTTAAATAGTAAATTTTTTAACGTTTTGAATTATATATTTTTTCTTGAAAATAGTTTTAAAAGTAGAAACATTCTATTGTAAACATCAAAGCAGTGATAGCAAATTGCAAGTTAAAATAAAAATTATAAAAATTTTAAATAAAATTTAACAAATTATTTTGCTTCGAAATTGTTCGAAAAAAAATTTTTCTAAAAAAACAATTTAAGCACATTCTTATACTTAATATAATTCGATTTATTAAACAAAATTTTTTGTTTCACTTTTTTTTGGAAAACAATTAGAATAAAAAAAAATTGAATGAAAACATCAGTTTAAAAAACATTTGATTGAAAAACTTAATTATTCTTAAATTTTTAATTGTACGCTTGATCAGGAAACGATAATTTAATAATTATCTAATGTTTTTATGTTTTGATCTTACTCGTTTGGTCCATATATTATAAACTCATATAGGTCTAAAGGCGCAAATATGAAGTTTGTTTTAGTTTATTAACTAGATCAATTTTATTTATTTGCTTCCTTTTATTTTAAAAGCGTTTTACTTTATAAATTGTATAAATCAACACAACTTTGCAGATTTTTTTAATATTGTTTTATAGCTTTTAACAATTAAATACTTTTTAAAATTAACAAGTGTTTTAATGTCAGTACGAACCTAATAAATAGTTTTCTTTGACTAATTAAAGTGGTTTAGATATTGTAATGTTGCTTTTTCTCTTACTTTTTTACTTTTACTTTTTTAAGTATAATGATACTTATATATTTCTTTAAGTATACTTAAGTAAAATATATACTTAAAGAAATATCTTAATAGTATTAAAAACATTATTGCTTCTTACAACTTAAACTTTAAGTTATAACTTAAATTGTAAATAATAACAGTAACTTATGCTATTTTAAACTCTGCCAAACAAGATAATTATAAGATTATATTTAAATATGAGAGAATACAATTATATACTAACACAACTTCTCTACCCCCCCCCCCTTTTGCCGCAAAGAAGCGCAAGGTTTAAGGGGAAGGGGTGAAAATTTTTTTTTTTTGCAATTAGATTCTTTTGCGTTAATTCGAGCCCTGTACCGCAAAATGAGTTAAACGTTATTTAATGGGTTTTTTATTACTACTATAAAGGAAAGTTTATTTTATTTTTTTCTAATATTAAATAATTAAATTTAATATTGCATTTTTAAAAAACGTTAGATATTAACAAATTTCGTTCTTTTTGTTCTCAACATTTGTATAAATGACTTGAAATATGTTAAATTTTTGAGTTTTTAAATGATTATTTCTTAAATTTCTAATTGCGGCTTTGCAACTACAAATAATAAAAAAAAAAAAATTAAGTAACAATTTAAAAAATTGTTAGTTTATTTAAAGTTGATTAGTTTATTATTTGATTATTAAAATTACATAGCTGAATACATCATTTATTAAAAAATAATCGATTTAACTTGAATTTTAAAAAAAAAAGTTTAACTAATGTTTTGTGCAAACTTTTGACGTAGCTGTTTATTTAAAATTCAATTTTAAGTACAAAAAAGTTTTAGGATGGAGAACTAAAAAAACAATTGCAATAAAAATAAGCAATTTTTTTTTAAGAACAAATAAAATTTAAAAATTGAACAATATTTAGTAATATTTTTAAATAGATTTGGCAATCAAGTTAAACCCAAACAATAATTTTAATTTTAATAAACTTTAATAAATATTCTTTTTAAATCCAAATTAAATTATATATTTTTTAAATATAAACTAAATTATTTTTTTTATCAGAATAAAATTATATATTTTTATTAAATTAGTATTAAATTAAATCATATACTTTTAATCAGAATTAATAAAATTTTTTATCAAAACCAACAAAGGATAACTCGATAACTCTCAATAATATGAACTAATTTTGAAATTCCAGTTGAGCCTTTATTTACGGATTATACTCTAATATTCTCTAAAAAGCTAATTTCTTGGTCACTTGGAGGTGTGAGTTATTTAGAGTTTACTGTAACATCTTATACTATTTATAATTGTTGTGATGTTTTGTGCTAATAGACTTAGAGTACATAACACGTTAATTTGTAATTAATGTGTAATAAGTGTTTTAAATAATAATTTTGTTTCAATTTTAGGTCGATTTCCTCCTCTTATGGCTAACTTTTGAAAATTTTCCTACATAGAACAGTTTAAGAAGTATTCTGAATATGGATTGTTTTCATAAAGCTAAAACAAAGTTTCATTAATCTTCATAGCATTTACTAAAATCTATAGAATAATGAAACAATGTTATTATTTAAATTGCTTTTACAAGTACTTTTAATACTTTTTTATGTTAAATTTTTTTGTAATATATTTTTACCCAAAATATTTTTTATTTTATATAAAAAAAAAATGTTTTTTGCTTCTGACATAAATTTTTATATTTTTCTCTTTGAAATAATTTAAGTATAGATGTATTTAGGGTTGCCAAAATAAAATTTATTTTTACAGTTTTGGTGCTGTATTCTTATCCATAAAAGCTGGACGTCTAGCAAACCTAGATATATTGGCCATTTTCACTTTGTTTTTATATTTTTCAGTGATTTTTATATGTGAATGGAATACATTGATACTTTATCACTTGGGTTATTACAGATCTAGATGTTTCCATTAAGTATTCCCGTTAAGTATGTTTTTGTACCAAGATTCGGTGCAAATAAAAGCTATAATCATTTAATAAATTAGCAAAAACCGGTATTAAAAACAGCCTAATTGAAAGAATATGTTATGAATTGCAGAAAAGTTTCTAAAAGAAATGTCAAGCAAATAGAACTAACTTATATGACATAAAAAGGATCCCTGACCTGTTTCTGTGTCTTACTTTACTTTCTAAAGAAATCTTAATGAGAGGTCTTTAAAATGTTAATAAAAAACGTCACCACTTTTGATGCAATTGTGACTCAGTTGCATCAAAATAAAACTTCTTTTAGGATACCCTTTCAAAACATTTTGCTGATTTTTATTTTTGAAATTTATTGCATTTTTGATTTATATATATATATATATATATATATATATATATATATATATATATATATATATATATATATATATATATATATATATATATATATATATGTATATATATATATACATATATATATATATATATATATATATATATATATATATATATATATATATATATATATATATATATATATATATATATATATATATATATATATATATTACATAACACTAATACATCCATACCAATATTTCCTTGAACATCGTTTATCAGTATTATAGATATTAACACTACGTGTATCTAAAATATATTATAAATAAAAAAAATTAGTTATCAAGTTATCAATACTATTTAGAATAAAATTTATAAAATTTTTAAATTTCTACTTGAAATATGACTTTAAAAAAATGTATAATTATACAGGATTTGAATATGTCCCTTTATATATGACTTTGAATATAGTTTAAAATGAATAAAGTTTCAGAACAAAAAATAAAACTCAAATTTCTGGAAGCACAGTTTACTTATGCTTTTCATAAAAAAAAAAATTTTGACATTTAACTTGGTTATTGAAACTTATTGTTCAATAACCAAGAACATTATAAACATTATTATAAAGCAAATGACAATAAAAATAACAGTACTGTTATTGTAATTGATATTTTTATTGTTAATCATGGATGCAAGATAGACTTATTAATATTAAATAGTGCTTTCCATTCCATCCTGGAAATAATAATAAAGTAAACAAAAGGAGAACATGTTAAATAATCAAAAAAGTTCTAAGCAATAAAAATAACTGGTTTAAAGTGTAAAAATAAAACATAAGAAGTATTGAAATATTATAATTTTTTAAAATTTTTATTTTTTATATATTTCATAAGATATTATAATTATTATAACATCTAATGAAATTAGATGTTATAATAATTACTAGAGACAAGAGACAATGTTTGAATAAACTACATTTGTTTACTTTTAATTAGTTAAACTATATTTAAAAATAGAATAAACTATTGTTGTTAACAAATAAAAGTTTTTTTTTTTAAATCAATAATAAAAAACCTTTTTTACAGATGTAAAATTTGACTTTTAGAATTTTAATAAAGCAACCTTGTTTTATAGTGTTACCACTATGATCAACTTACTGTAATAGATTTACTAAAAACAATATGAAAAATATAGATTATTTCTTTTTTAAAATACTCGAGGTATTTTTTATTTACCCCACACAGAAAGCAATATTCAACACAGTTTATAGATTCCAATGTGGGGTGAATAAAAACCCCTTTTTTTTCTCTTTCTACGCTTATTTGTGTTAAATATCTCATTTACATTGGTATTTGTTTTAGTTTTCTATCATTATGGCAAGTCATACAAACTTTTGATTACAAAAGGTGATAAAAATAACTTAGTAATGATCAAATGTCTTTTTTTTCTTTTTTTTTTTTTTTTTTTTTAACAAACAGGTCTGCTAAGAAAATTTTTTCTCAATCTTTTAGTTTATGAAGATTTTTGAACATTTAGAGTTTATGAAGATTTTGAGCATTTATGGAGTTATTTTTAAATGCATTTATAAGTATAATTTTTATTTAACTTTGCATTAAAACAAAATTAAACTTCATAGTTGATTTGTTTATTTCTTTTTTTTTTTTTTTTTTTGTCTTTCACTACGAATAGGCTATTAAAATAATAGGCTAAAAATAGCAATTCAAATTAAATAGCTATTTTTAGCCTATTATTTTAATAGCCTATTCTTTTTCCTTCAAATTGAATAGCTTTCTTCTTCAAATTGAATAGCTATTTGTAGCCTAATAATTTAATAGCCTATTCTTTCTCCTCGCATGAAAGGATGAAATTTGTGAAAAAAATTTGTTATGAAAAAAATTTGTGAAAAAAATTTGTGAAAAAAATTTGTGAAAAAAAGTGAAATGATGTTTCGTATAATATTTTGTATCCTATTGAACTTCATAGCTATTTTTTTAACTTTAAGGAAATATAACAAAAATAATATTATACGAAACATCATATGATTTTTAACCTAAACTAAACTGCTTTTAAAATAAACTTTTCTGCTTTATAATTAAAAATCATATGCAACAACAACAACAACAACAACAACAACAACAACAACAACAACAACAACAACAACAACAACAACAACAACAACAACAACAACAACAACAACAACAAGATATTTATTTTCCTTTTCAAAATTTACATATAATCATATAATAACAATAATAATAATAATATTATCCATAATAATACAAACAATATAATTATAATAAAATATAACTAATAAGAATAAATATAAATAGTCATTTGAAAAAAAAGGTGTAACTTAAACAGAAGCATGATCAAAGGAGTGACACCAAATAATTATAACAATAATAGTTAAAAATAATAATATTATCTATAATAATACAAATAATATGATGACATGAGTGTCATTCATGATCGAAATGAGTGACACCAATTAATTATAACACTTAGTATAATAATAAAATAATAATAAAAATAATAAATATGAACCGAAAATCGCTAGGAAAATAAATAAATTAATAATAACAACGATAAGTTAAATAATAAGACAAAAAATATGAAAACACTCAATAACAACAGCAAACAAAAATAAAAATAATAAGCAAAACAGAACAAATAAAAAACAAACCTTACACAAACGAAAAGGCGTAACACAAAAACAACAAGATGTAACACAAAAACAACAAAACGAAAAGGCAAACACAAACACATCTACAAAAAAAAAATTAAAAAATAGAGACAAACTTTAGTTATTTTTGCGAAATAATTAAAAAAAAAAAAAAGGTACAGAAATTTGCGTAAAATAGAAAAACAGGAAACAACAATAAAAATAATTAGCACAAATAATAACAAACTTTACGCAAACGAAAAGAGAAACACAAAAACTACAAAACGAAATGCATACATACATACACGATATGATTTTTAACCTAAACTAAAGCTGCTGAATAATATTTAAAATTTTTTTCAAAAAAAATTCAAGTATGAACAATTTATACTAGGGCCTTATTTTTTTTACATGAATCTTTGTGTTGATTTTTTTATGTTTCGGTTTTTTTAACAAATCAGCTGTAGAATTTGGCGCTATATAAATATTTTTATATTGGGGTGATTTTTACGATTCATGGTAAACGAAAATAATACGAACTTTTAAGTAACAAAATTGAACATAAATCGATTAGATAATAACTTTATAAAATTTTACTATCAACTAATTATTACATCATTATAATACATCGTTTGAAATCGGCCATCGCTTTAGGTGCCTGTCTTGGTTTTTAACGTTCTCATTCAATATGAGGGGTTGAAAAAGAAGATATGTACATTAGGGTCATATTTTTTTTAACTTTTGTCATAGTTTAAAAACCTGAGAAATTAACAGTATAGTATAATTTAGATAGTAAAATTTCATAGTAATATCGAAAATAGTTTAGTTATTAAAATTATTGTGTTGTTTTAATGAATATTTTCGAAGTATTTGATTTTAAATAAGATGTAAAGCATAAAACACAGATAAGTAAAACTATTTTCTCTACTTGTGTAAAATGTTGCTCTGAACTAAAATATTAAACAAAAACAGAAAATATTATTCATTATGTGTTTTTTGCATTTCAATGTCTTTTTAATTTATTTTATATTTGATACAGTAAATTTTTAAAGAAAAGTATTTTATAAAAATTATATTAAAACATAGAATATTACTAACATATATTATCTATGGATTTTTGATTTTTCTAATATTTCAAATAAATATAACAAAATTGTTGTTGACAAATATTCAAAAGTATGGAAAAAAATTTAGTATTATTTGAAAAACGTATAACATTAAAAACTGGTCTACCTTTTATTGAAAAACCATTAGATTCATTTAATAGAATGTTAAAAAAAAATTTGATCTGGCATCAATTGAAAAAAGAAGAAAAGAAAGTGTAAAGTTAGTTGCTGTCAAAATATGTAAATTATGGAACAAAGTCATTTTTCCTAGTATTTTTAAAAAATCAATTGGAAGAAAAATTGAGAAAAGGTTTTAGAAAAACATAAGAAGCATCTTTAAAAACCTGGCGAAAAGAAAAAAAAAAGAAGAATGCTCTGTTTTTGATGATCTTTTTGATATCACCAATATTAAGGGCATGTCGCTTAGTCTGAAAAATAAAAAATTTTATAACATACTATAACTAAGTTGGTCACAGTATTAAGACACAAGTGTCATTACATGCTTCATAAGTCAGAGTTTGTAATGCAAAAAATACAACTTCAATCAAAGTAAATATTTTTCCAGTTAGCAGTTCAACTGATGTGTCATTATGTCGCAGGACATAATGACACATCTAGAATATTAGAAGATATTTTTTGCTTAATGGAAAAGGAAAAAGTTTTTACTTTTATTCAGACAAATATTATAAAAAAACGCAAACCATAGAAAGTATTATCAATTTTGTGGAAGCTTATATGACAAGAAGAAAATATGAAACAGTTCATGTTGCCGGGAAAAATACTTCTGATTGTTATTCGTGAATTTTTTATCCCTAAGAAAAAAAGTATGATCATTGGGTTACTCCACATATTAAAAACTTAGTCCGACCAAAAAAATCGGCTTGGCATGGCTGCTCAACTAAATGGAAGAATGGAGATCTTAAAACATATTACAATTGTATTATTCGTTCCGTTAAAGTTGAAATGTTTAAAGCAAAAATATTACATGAAGCAGGAATAATATCAAAATCTTAGAACAACCTGAAACTCGTCTACAAATATATTAACAACCAGCTAAAAATTAAAGATAAAATTTGTTCAGGCGCAATTTCTAATACTCTTCCCGATATACTTGAACTTCTGAACTTATAGTTCAATGTTAAACCTAAATGCAATTATAACAGCAACTTGGATTTCTCTATTGCCGACATTATTAATCAACTTACCAATCTGAACCCTTACTAATATTTCAGACCTAATGGCTTATACCCTTTAATACTTAAGATGTACCAAAAGTTTCGCATTTTCGCTTACAAAAATTTTCTATAAATCTTTTAATTTTGGAATAGTATCAACTCTCTGAAAATTAGCAAATATTTATAAGCAACAGTCTTACTATTCCGGAAAATTATCGATCAATTTCACTAACCTAGGTTGCGTGCATAATCTTTGAAAAAGATGTAAAGAATAAAATCTTGAAGCACATCAACGATAGGAACTTGCTCTTTACAAATCAACATGGCTTTTTTCATCATAAATCTTACGTAACCGTAACTTTTATA